TTGAACTGGTGGGCGTTTATATTTCCAAATGCCGGGCTATGTTTGGCTACCATCAATGTTGGTAATGTCTTGCAAAGCGATGGGATCAAGGGCGTGACAAGCGCATTGACTTTGCTCCTCGTTATTGCGTGGTTGGTGGTTGCTGTAGCAAACATCAGAGCTGTTATGAAGGGGAAGATACTATGGGAAGGTAGAGATGAAGATCATGGTATGCGGTTGGATTAGAAACTCAATCGAAATACAGACGTGATAAGATCAATGTATTGTAGATTGTGGAACGAGTTTCCGTTTAAAAGTATATTAATAAATTACTCATACCGTCAATTATTATTTAGTCATTGATGTAAGACTTTATTTTGGCGTGAGTTACCCCGGCTTTCTAATGACACGGGGCTGTTCTTTCACCATATTTGCAGTGGCTATATGCTGCAGTGCTCTGTCATTGTCAAAATCACCCACTTACCCATCTGGATTGCATAGCAACGCGGTGAGTTTTATCTGGAGGAAAACTAACAATGATAGGGCATTTACCAATATGCAGTACAAAGATAGAACACTTGTGACGTTTTGACAATGTCTTTCCGCTTTCTAACAATTCATTAAAGGAAACCAGGCCATTGCTAGAGTCCTAAATAATACCTAGCCAACTCAATTAGGGAAGTGATGCTGGACATTTTTGTAAGCCGACTTGCTAGTACCTAACTTGTATGACCATTGCTAGTGGGCACCTATCACAAAGATTAGCCTATACTGTTATCGGCATGTTCTTTTACACCGGTGCGTTCTTATATAAGGCAAAGGGCGTCTCATCGTTAAGCTACAATTGTAGATTCACACAGTCTTTCCAGGCTCTAGCATGTCCGAATTACCTTTTTTTCATGGCTAAGAGTTCCTCTTCCTACGCCCATACGGGGAGTCCTATGATGCAACAAGACCCTTTTTCTGTAACTTGTGATATCCGATACATGACCGATCGGGAATCCCCGTGATACAATTGTTCCTTTCATTTGCCATCATCCAAGTTGAATTGCCGTCCGTACCAGCCTAAGTTTTCTCAAATCGAATTCTAATGTCAACGTCTACTGGGCCTGTTTTAGGCATATGTAAGTGCATCAGTCAGGGCCAGACTATGTTTCTGCCGTTGTCGCAAATAATCAAACGCTTGCTAGAACTTCGCTGAATTTGGTCAATGGAGCGACCTAGAATTCCTAAAGCTTCTTAAGTCCAATACGGTTATACTGTTCTTGTCATCTATCAAAACACACAACCACTCTCTCCCTAACTCTGATTGCCTAGAGGCTTCTCTTTTAAACCCGATATACCCCTTCTGCAAGCCTCATGACGAGAAGAGCTAACTTAGAGCATTAACTAACCCTAAGTTGCTTTGAACTGTTGCCATGTGTCTTTTTCAACATGGCTTTACCGAAATACGCCAGTAAATTAGCGCAATTTATGGCAAATTCACCAGAACGATCCAGGATTGCATGTTGGCCTTCTTAATATCTACGTCTTGGAAAGGGCAATTACAGTGGAAAGCTTGAATCAGTCCAAAAGTGTCGTCCTGACCGCTAAGTAAAATTCTTGACTTATTCGGGATTATCCGTATGAGAATCAAATACGACAAATTCAAACTTCACAAATCAAGCGTTGAACTTGTCCTGCCATGTAAGGGTTTGTATGGTTTCAAGACAAGCTTGTTCAGTTTGTCGCCTCCTTTATCGAATGTTTGGTGTCACAATAACAAAGATTGAGAACAGTTTACATTGCTGATAGATTACTGACATGTATTTCTCACAATGTATCCCTGTAGCTAATTCACTTTCCTACAAAATGTTGACTTGAGATGTAATTCAATCTCATTAAGATGAACAATCCAATGTCGCTCAAGAGATAGCTTATACATCTGTCAGTCAGGCTGTATCAACTACTGCCTTTACAGGAACTGGCGGTCGATCCTGAGCATCGCGTGTCGTAGCCGCATGGCGTGCGACTGCTGCATACTCCGGATCCGTGTCTGTACCAGACGAAAGCCCCTCATTAGAATCTTTGGTTGTTCTAACTGGTTTTGCTTCCATCGAGGAATTCCAATCATTCTTTTCATCCGCAGCAGCAGCTGAGTTTGCAAAGCTCGGTGTTTTGATGCTGTGCCCATCACTTTGGGCTGTTTTTTCCCCTAGGGGGTTCGATTGATCTGCAAGTGCTTTTTCTCTGAAGTTCTTAATATTTTGGTTGGCTGACAAGTTGCTGATGTACTGTTTTGTATTGCCCAAAGCTGAGTTGACACTTTCTGGTGCTTTCTTTGCCGCATTCATTCCAGTTTGCGATATTTTGCCAACATTCTCTTTAGCTGATGCTGGGGCACGTATCGCTGTACTTTTCGCTCGAGCTGACAAGTCAGAAGCGGTTTCCATGCCTCTCTTAGACACATTTTTGATCGCAGTTTCACTGTCGTACACAGTTTGTTGTGCCTTGGATGACCATTCAGCGGTTTTAGTCGAAGCATCATGAGCAAGCTCATTCCCCTTGGTAGTGGTAAAGCTGGCTAAATCGGAAATCTTTGCTTGGCTATTTTGTGCAACTTCTTTACCTCTATCTGCAGTTGCGTTTACCAGCTCTTGAGCACGCAGACTTGCATCACTGGCTACCCTGCGACCTTCAGGCGAAGCTAAAAGTGGGGCGATAAATATTGAGTTTAACCCCATGAAGGTCAACCAAAAAGGTGAGAGAAAGTGAACAAGCCAGTACAAAGCGCTGACGCTAATGAAGGCCTGGGGACCGTCAGTGTTAGACACATGTATAAGACTGCTAGTTTAAACTGCACCCGACGGCTCACTCACGGCAAATGTCCTTTTCAAATCCTGTCCCAAGACAACTCTCTGGAATTCCACCACAATGTACTGAGTAAAGTCATGGATGTCTTTCAGTGTGGCGTTAAGGGTCGATTCTGGAATTCTTTTGAATTCTTTGGGACGTAGAAGCGCTGACAAAGGGCGAGTGCTGAAAGGACGAGTAACGAACTCCAAAACAGACACCACTGAAGAATTGCTGTCAATGCCTTACTCATATTCAAAAACATCATTGTAAGTGTAAATACCTCCAAGCGTCAACATTCCAACTTTCAGTGCTACTTGGGTGATTGGTAGGTAATGGATCCCAAACAGGACACCCATTACGCCAGTGTAAGCGCCAAGTGTTCGACCGGGTTCTTCCCACTTCAGTTCAATGTTATTAGATTGATCAAAAACATATGCATATCATTACTAACATTGATATACTTATAGAGGCTGTCCCGATGAGCTGCAGTATCTTAAGTGTAAGAAAGGACATTACTTCGTCGTGTTGCCTGCGCATTGCATACCTATTACTTGTTTCAGAGGTCCGTCGGGCTCTGATTGAGGATTTCCTTCTTCAGATAGCGCATGCTGTTTTTTTGAGTTGCCTGGAAAAGCTTGATCGTAAGTAGCCGATACTGCCACGCTTAGTGACGGTTCCAGGACTCACTTTGTGCTGTCTCCTGCCAGGCTTGCCCAGCACTGTCAGTGGAGCGTGACAGACCGAACGCAGTAGGCTCAGACATTGTGACTTTCTTGAATGTAAAGGAGATTTCACTTGATAAAAGAAATCTGTACTTCCATCTAGACGTGGTTATATTGCAATCAGTTTTGCGCGCGAGAAATGTTTCAGTAAATGCTCGGCCTCTATTTTATAACCTTTTACTTTGAAATTAAGGAGTAATCAGAATGATGCGTCATTTCCAACAAGTGATTTTGTGAGATGTTACGTCAAGATCGCGTATGAGAGCTGTGATTTCAATAAAGTGACGTGCAGTGACAAGCCCAATCGTGATATCGATAGCTGGCTTTTACATTCCCACAAGGGTCTTGGCCATTTTTGCCTTCGGTACGTACCGTTGAATCTATCTGATTGTGACGATGGCGCTGGTCAGTCTTATCAATTGAAGGGACCTAGATTTGGCTTATCCCATCGACTGCGAGTTGAATACAGGTACATTATGAGCCACAATTCGGTCCACAATTTCTCCAAAATCCGTGTAAAATAGGTATGCGATTGGAAGGGGGTTGGTACTGTCTGTCCCTGAATGGCTACAATGTCGTAGGTTATGTACCTGTAGCCAACTCGCAGTACATGGGATAGCCCCGGTCAAATTTAACATTTGCAAGTTTGATGTATCTGCATCAAACGTTATAATAGATTGCACAACTATTTTATTGTACCAAGGTTGCGCTAAATAGCTGCATCGTGATAAATTCATCGCAGCCGGCTTAATCTGGGAAATGTGGCGCCGGCAAGTTTCAGCTACAAACCAAGCCTAATTTTAATGTCTGTAATCATCCAACAAACTGCCTGTTCTCGCATCATTCTCTATTAGACAAAGATCCTGTCTGTTTATGTTATTCTCACTCTCAGGAAGTTTACACACTTGCGTCCGACAAAACCATTGTCGGCCTTGGGTAATAAACCCGTACAAATCATTCTTCAATGGGCATTAGAAAGATTTCTTATGGCTAGCATAAAGCCCATTATCACAGGTGCGGGCTGGCTTCCTTTAAACAACCTGACTGTCAATCCTTTCGAGTATACAGCATCACTTACGTAATAGTGCTGGCCAGATAGTCTTTTCATTCTGTTATTAGTGCTGGGATAGAGGGTATTACGTCTGAGACTGTGTGTTACGAGGGCTTTTCAAATGAGGTAGATGTGCTGTTAAGCTTACGCCGGGACGTGCCCCAAATAATTATTCACTGGCTCTGATGGATTTACTAGCGTCTAACATTATTCACACATCAATTACCTGTTTTGTCCAGGCTGTGCTGAACAGAGTCACTAGCGGTCATTATGATAATTATGATGTCAACAGTTGCACCTTCTCGCTCTTTTTTTCGGCTTGATGGTGGACATATCCTTTGGTTTGTGCTGTATCTGTTGCCAATAAACGCTCATTTATTTTCGTCTGATTTGCTGCTCAACATCTACATTAATTACAAGAACCTGACTTTATCTGCCCTTTCATATGCGTATGGCACGCTTGGAGTCTTCCACTCTGGAGTTGTCTCTTGTTCTCCTTCAAATTTGACGACTGGCCTAAGGATGCTCAACCGTTTCTTGTCAAAAGCGCTGGCATCGAAACTCTGGAACCAACCACTCTCAGGTTGCAGATAGTCTCCGAGAACCCTCTTCCAACCGTTCCAGACAGTGACAAGAAGGTCTAGAACGTGGTGTGCTCCTCTCATCTCGCCCCATTGGAAGCGCTCCTTGCATTCCTCCACAGTAGTCTCTGGGTAAAGACCCACTTCCTCAGTCAGGGCGTACGCATTAACTCCCGTAAGGCTGGCGTGAGAATAGTAGCTTCCTCCCTCGACTGCTCGTCTCTTCAGACCCAACATGGCGCCAACCGCGCCAAGTACTCCTGTTGACATATCGGAGATGGGCAAACTAGGAAGTACCGCTTCATTATTGGGCAGCTTGAGTGATCTTCCGGTAACATACGCGGATCCGGCAGCAGCATCCGCAATCTGTTGCCAGCCAGGGCGCTCGGCATAGTACCCGTCAGGGCCGTAGCAGTTCTCGCTTACGTAGACTATGCCACGGCCACGCTCGCCGGCCATCTTCAATAGGTCATTAAGGCCAAGGCCATACTTGGGCATCTTGTTGATGCGGAAGCCTTGGATGAAAACATCAGACTCGGCAACGAGGGACTTTAAGAGGGCAGCGTCATCTTCTTTCCGAAGGTCAATAGCGATTGTTCGCTTGCCAGCATTGAGAGACAACTGCATGATGTTGATATCAGGCAAGTGAGGAGGGTTGATCCGAATTACGTCCGCACCATAAGCAGCCAAAATCGTTCCAATTTCTGGACCGGCGATGACACGCGTCATTTCAACAACCTTAACACCGGCCAGCGGACGCTTGTCGTTCGGTTTCAGTGGGGGGAAGGCGACGGGAGGAGTGGGAATCGTTTGCTCTTGCTTCTTGACATTGACCAAGGGGTGACTTGAGAGCGAGCGACCCATTTCAGATTCGCGCCATTGCTTTGGTGTGAAGCAGATGCTTCCACAGAAACCATTCAGGAGATTCGTCATCTCCATCTTTTCAGGGCTCAATTTCGAGGTATGTTGAG